TTGTTATTGCACCTGATTATGATATAAACCAACAAACGTGAAAGCAAAAGCTTTAGCCAATGTTTTTACAACAAGATCATAGAAACTGGCAACATAATTACAGAACCTGATAAGATTAAAATAACAATACAGAAACACTTCAAAAACTGGACAAAGCTAAACCCTACCCAAACAGAATTATGGCAAGAATGGGTTAACGAATACAAACCTATCCAAAAAATAGACTCAACATGGTATGACACAACAACAACAGAAATTACACCTATCGAGCTAGAGAATATAATCAAAGAAGCACCTAACACAAAGGCTACTGGACCCTCAAAGATATCAAATAAAATGCTAAAACATTTTGGCCCTCAAGCAAAAACAATGATCCTAGACATATTCAACAAATGCCTAAAACTACATGACGTGCCTACAGCATGGAAATATAGCACAATATACCCCATATCAAAAAAAGCAATATTCACAGAAAACTTAAACCAAACATGTCCCATCACACTAATCGAACACATATGGAAAATCTTTACAAAAATCATAGTACGAAGACTCGACCCCATACTATCTAAATACAACATATTAAACCCAAACAATTATGTAGCTCTAGCCAACACCTCCACCACAATACCAATACACCCACTCTAACATATAATCAAAGACGCTCAAACAAACAAAAAAGAACTATGGATACTATCACAGAACATGAGCAAGGCATACGATTCCGTACATATACCACTCCTAATCAAAGCTCTACAACGCATTAAAATACCAAAACCAATAATAAACATAATAGACAACATACTATCCCACAGGCACAACAATATTATTACAAATCATGGACTCACCAACAACTACCACGTTCAAGATGGTATAGACCAGGGAGAGACGATAACTCCTTTATTATGGAGAATATACTATGACCCTCTACTCACCTGAATCAATAGAAAACATCTCACATATACAATGGAAACAACAATACCACAATCAACACACACACAATACAAATATATCAGCAAACAACAAACGTACTAGCATACATAAACGATACGTTATGGATAGCAGAAAACAAACCAAACCTACAAATATTAATTAATACAGCTAGCTCCTTCTACAAGATG